ATTAAAGACAAATGGGGGATTTTATTGTTTCAATTTGCATTTTCCTGGTGGTGTTATAAACACTAAAAATAGTTTTTAATTTCTTTTATTTTCTATGTAAGCCCAGGGTTATTAAGAATGGTGATTTTCAATTCCAGGTGTATCAATTGGCTGGGGATGGTGGTTGACCCTCATTTTTGCTCTTACTTTCTAATTTTATCAAACTGTGATCAAATTGTGTGGCTTGTATGACTTTTCCTTTTTGGAATTTGACAAGATATGTTTCATGATCTAACTTATGGTCTGTTTTTGCAACTCCTCCATTTATGCKTAAAATAATATGTATACTTTGTTTATTAGATACAAATCTCTACAAAAATCAGATTTTGGTTAATTATGTTAATTAATATTTTTGTTTATTTTAGTTTTTATTTGTTCTTTTTAGATATACCTGATAGTAGAGTGTATTTTGACATATTACATATATATGGAGTATAACTTATTCTAATTAGTTTCCCATTCTTGTGGTTGTACATGATGTGGAATTTCACTAGTCGTATATTCATATGTGAACATAGGAAAGTTATGTCTGATTCATTCTACTATCTTGATTTTTTTAAATACCCTTATGTGTTTCCAGTCTTCTTTAGTGTGTGTGTTTGTGGTGTTGGGGATCCAGCACAGAGCCTCACACTTGCAAGCACTCCACCTTGATCCCTCAGTCTTGAACTAGTAATTTCTGGGAAAAGTATAATTAAAAATATCCTGTATATGAATTATCAGTTCCTTTGTATTTCTGTTAGTTGTTGCTATAAATATTTTCATGTGAAGGACATATGGAATGCTTCATCTTCTTGGTAAAAATCTTTCACCTATGTAAAATATTTCTTTTTTGGTTTTTTTTCAATATTTTTTTCTTACATTGCATTTTGTCTGATATTTATATTGCTTCCCCACCTTTGGATTTCCTTCCCTACATCCACTCCAAAATATTTCTTTTTTTTTTTTTCATTTTTTGCCTTCCAGTATGGGTTGATTCAGATATTGAAGATTCTGTGGGAGATTTGGTATATTTAGAATTTGTGAACATGTTTAGTCAGCATGCACCCATTGAAAAATTACTTTGGTCTCCATTTCTTTGCTGCCTATAAATTTATTGCAGACCAAATGCTACAAGTTGTATTCTACTAGCATGCATTATTCAGTAACAGCTTTCATAGTCTCAGTTACCATCTTTCCCATCTCATTCCCAGAAAGATCTGTTTAATTTATAAACAGTCCATTTTAGACAGCACTGCCAGTGACATCACAATATTTCTCTTCTTCTGGACAATTTATTGGCAATAAAAATACCTCAATCTCTTCCATGGGAAAAACATGTTGAAGGCCACCAACTCAACTATGGGCAAGACCTAACTCTTAGTGATTTCGGGCTATTAGCATTTAAAATACATTCTTTCGAAAACTGTAAAAAATCACACCTCACAATTATTTATAAAGGATGTGATTTATTTTGTTTTCTTATTTTACTTAAAACATTCTCACCCTCACCTCATTTTTTCTATGTTTTATCTTTTTATTTATTTTTTTTTTTAGTTGTTGATGGACCTTTATTTTATTTACTTACTTGTGGTGCTGAGAATTGAACCCAGTGCCTCAGACATGCTAGGCAAGTGCTCTACCACTAAGCCACAACCCCAGCCTTCTATGTTTTATTTTTATATATCAAAGGAAGTTTATTTTCATTTGTTGGTCATTGAATTCCAACTGTAGATAATAAAAAGAGTTTTACTTAGCTTAGGCCTATCATGTGATGTTTGAGAGGTTTTGTCACTTGATCCGTTGATCTGGCACAGAACTGGCATCAAAATATAGGTCGCCCAACTCTAGTACACAATTTGCACATAAACTTATTTCTTATACGAAAGATTTTTAAAGATCCTATCACATCTGCAAACTATTAAAAAAATAACTCCTAGAAAGAAATAAAATAGAGAGCATGTAATACCTCAATTTTTATAGTAGGGATCATGGAGTGGGAAAGATGAATTAATGATTTGCTTAAAATAATTGACCCCAGAAGATTTCAAGAGACTAATATGGGGTTTTTCCTACCAAGTAACACCCTTTCTRTCACCATCTCCAACACCTCACTGTCTCTCCATGTTCTTGCCACCCAACTCTACTTTTTAGTTTTCTTCTTATTTGTGTGTTTGTGTGTGTGTGTGTGTGCACGTGAGTGTGTGTTGTTGAGGACTGGAACACAGGGGTCTGGTGCATGCTAAGCAAGTGCTCTGCCACTGAGCTACATCCCAGCCTGACAACTTCACTTTTAAAAGAACAGAACTACTTTCTCGAGGAACCATATCATCATTTTATCCCTATAGGAACATGAAACACAGTTTTACTTTTTAACTGTTAATATGTAAGAGTCTTCTTGATTGGTAGTGACCTTATGAGAAAAGCCAGCAAAATCTGAGAACCAGGTAATCCATTGTAAACTGGAGATTCTCAATGATTTACCTCTTATTCCAGGTAAAGTAAAAGAATAAAACACAACACTGCTTTAAATTCCTTCCAGCTCCTTGTTTATTGTTTCCTCTCTCTGGAACTCYATTTATTCGTTAAGTATCCCCAATTCCTATCAAATGAGGAGGATAATAGGTTCCCAAGTAAATATTTAGACTAGACATTTGTGCTCTGTATAGAATATGTAGGGCCTTCTTTCTGCCTTTAAATCATGAATGGCTCTTTAGATCCTAATGAACTGGCAAACTCTTCTAGACTCCAAGAGTCTGCAAACTATAGCCAGTGGACTAGCCACAAGGTTTTGTAAATAAATATTTTCTTTGAACACAGGCAGGCTATTCATTTAAATACTAATTACCCTATGGCTGCTTTCCCTACAAGGGCAGAGCTGAATAGATGACAGAGAAGCAATGTTACTAACATTTTACAGAAAAAGTTCACCAACCTTTGTATTTAAAATCTATTTATTAGCCAGGTGTGGTGGCACACACCTGCTTGTAATCCCAGCAACTCAGTGGGGTGGGACAGGAGAATTGAAAGTTTAAGGTCAGTCTTGGTAACTTAGGGAGACTCTGTCTGAAAATAATAAATAGAAAGGGTTTACAGTGGGGCTCAGTGGTAGAGCACTCCTGGATTCAATCTCCAGTACCACAAGAAAAAAAAATCTATTTATTGCCCTTTATGACCATTTGGAGTTGAGCCAAAGTCTGATTCACATATAACATGCAAATCAACAAACATTAGTAATAATGACATATATTTGCATGGAACTTTGTAGGTTGTAAAATGTAGGGCTAGGGGTGTAACTCAATGGGAGAGCACTTGTATGAATTATGAAATGGTTCTTATGTATTAGCTCTTTTGAACTTCCACTAACCCTAGAGACTAGACAGGCAAGTACTACTTTCCAGAGGAAAAAGACTTGGAGACATTTCATGATATATCCAGGGTTAAAAGGAACTCAGATTTGATGCTTTCAATCTTTTAACAACTTTGCCTCTGGAATATGTTTATCTCATTAAAAATAGGGGTGGTGGTTATTAACATTTGTCATCTCATGCTGCATCGACTTGAAATAGTATTACAGAGATCACCTGCAATTCATTGTAATTTGCAATAATATACTATGTCTCCTAAATAGTGCATTTTATGTCAATATAATGGCGATGAAGATAATGAAAATTTTACCTAAYTGATTAAAAATAAAAATAAATATGAGGCTAATTAAGTTATAAATTAAGTAACAATCTCAAACTTTAAAATCTGCAAGATGAGTCAGTTACCTGGCTTTTTTTTTTTAGATTAACACAAATAACAACAACAACAGAAACTCTTAGAGTATCAGAGAAAAATTAATCATTAAAAATATGAGTATATATGAACTTTAAAAAAATACTGAAAAGTTGATAATAGCACTTTGTACATGGGTCAAGTCATGTTTAACTAAAAATTCCAGTGGTAGCTACAAATCTATAGTTTTTCTGTAGCATCTAAAAATCAATAGTTTATATGCCTAAAAACTAAAAACTTATGGGGAATTTTTTTTTCCTGTGGTGCTGAGGATTGAACCCAGGGCCTTGTGCATGCAAGGTAAGCACTCTACCAACTGAGCTATATCCTCAGYCCAACTTATGAGGAATTTGATAAGCACATTGGTGTATCAGTCTTAGAACAGCATAAAATTAGTAAAATACATTGTCTGATTCCTTCTATACAACATTCTGTAAAAAGCAAGTTTATGGAGATAGTAAAAAGACCAACGGTTGCCAGGGATTAGGGCAAGGGGAGACCAATGGGTGGAGGGCAGAGGATTTATAAGGCAGTAAAATTTCTCTGTATAATTCTGTACTGGTGGATACTATTACACATTTATTAAAAYCCAAGAAATGTATGACACCAAAGGCAAAAACCTCATGTAAACTACAGACTTTGGTCAATAATGATGTGCCAACATGGGTCCATGAATTTTAATAAATGGACCACAGTGCTGGGGATGTTGACAGTGGAAGAAACAGGGTATGTGTAGGGAAAGAAGACACATTCTATATCTTCTGCTTTGAACCTGAAACTGCTCTAAACTAGAAAATGTATTATTATTATTATTTTTAAATGTGATACTGGGAATAGAACCCAAGGCCTCGCACATACTAAACAAAGTGCTCTACCACTGAGTTATATTTCTAGCCCCTGTAGTTTATTTTGAGACAGCATCTCACTAAGTTGCCAACACTGGCCTTGAACTTGGGATCCTCCTGCCTCATCAGCCTGCCAAGTAGATGAWTTTGCAGGCAGGCACCACCATGCTTGGCTATAAACTCTATTTAAAAAAAAAATTAACAAACTAATGAAGACCACAATTCTGTTTCTTCCTCAGAAGCTTTATAAAGATGCAATAGAAATGATCATTATTATTTTTTTATCATACAGGCATGAATAGAACAAAAAGGTTTACAATTCTTCCAGAAGAATGAACCCAGAACAAAAAAACTTACTTCACACCCAGGTTGGACTTCCCATGAGCAGGATTCCTTCTCTGGAGGGAGCATTCCTCTRTGGAAATCATGGTCACCCAGGCATGTTTGACACAAGCCAGGCTCAAAGTCTGGCTCCCCGGGGGGGATGTGGACCCCTGAGGGGCCAGTGTACTTCAGGCTGGGACTCTGATGCTTGTCCACACTGACCATCGGGCTCTTGATCCATCTTCGAACCTACAAAGTGCAAAAGAAAAAAGAGAGAGAGAAAGAGAAAATAAATGCATTCAACTTTCTTTGATGTGCAATGTGGCTCTGATGGGAAATTTGGTGGGATGGACACTCATAAAGAGATAATTCAGTCTCACAACCTCTCTCTCCTCCAAGTCTTCACACAACCCAAATTGGTCAATACTGATCAGTCCCTATCCAGCAGCATATATTATTTGTTGTTTATTTCYTTGTGATGAAGCCATCTTCTCRTTTATAAGATTGGAAAAAATTGTTCAATGTTYTTATTTCATTTTATTTTATTATTTTATGTGCTGAGGATCAAACCCAGAGCCTCACATATGCTAGGCGAGTGCTCTGCCACTGAACTATGTCCCCAGCCCTACAGTRTTTTTAAATGTGCAAGTAGTTTGCCTGGCATATGGTTGGTGTTGAATAGATGGTGACTATTTCACTTTGACTCTTAGTATTATGATTATGCAGATGGAAAGAGAGCTCACACATTTCTAAAGCACATTGTTAGTTATGCTTACTAGGGGAAATTCTAACTACAGTTTAGAAGCTAATTGTTTCTAAACAAGTTAATATGTATTTTAATATTACAAAATATTGGTTATAAAAGAATTTACTTCTAGCTGAGAAATTTTCTCAAGTTTATTTTTAAAATTCTTAAACTCACCACTTGTCTTTCTTACATGTAGGATTCCTGTAAGGTACAGGGAAAACATATAGTTTTTCTAATATTAAAAGAGATGATGTTTTATAGCATTTTAAATAGGCAAAGCAACTCTTTTAAATGTTTCACACGTATCATTTTGTTTAATCCTCAGAATAGTCTTACCAGATAGCTACTATTAACAAACTCATTTTATAGACAGGAAAACAGAGGCACAAAGAGATGAAGCAAATTTCCCCAGGATACACTGATGATGGAGCACAGGCAAGACCTAGGTATCTTGCAACCAGAATTTACAAGCACACTCTAAGACCTGGCCATCAGATACTTGAGAGTTATTTTGATTCAATATATCACTTCCCTGATTTTTAAGACTCCTGTAGGGCTGGGGTATAGCTCAGTAGTAGAGAGTATGCCTAGAAAGTACAAGGCTAGGGTTTGAGTCCCAGAATCCCTCCTTCCCCACAAAAGACTACTGTAGATTCTTTTAGAGTTAATCAATTAGTGAAATTAGCATATAGCAAAAGATGAAGAAAGAAGACCATATAGAACTTTATATTATCAGCAATTTTTTAAATTACACTGAGAATGAACTAAAATTGTAATAACAGTAGAAAGTTTAGGCAATTTGCTTTATTACTGATGGATAATTATGTAATCACCAAAAAGTAAAAACTAGAAAGACAGTGAAAATATTAAAAATGTTTAGAACACAATTATATGGAAAAATGTAAATAGAGAATTATTTKATCACTATAATTACAAATGTAGAAACGTGGGTGCTATTTATAGTCAAAGCAAGAAAGTAATAGACAAAATAGACACTATTCAATTTTTTGCTAGGATCATGAGTATTTTATTTTTTCTCCTTTTATAACATCCTGTCCTTTACTTTTTTAATATAACTTTTTTTTTTAAGTTTACAAGAAGCTTAAGCAATTAAAATCCAATTTCTTTCTTTGGCTACATATGTGTACTTTATTTGCYTTATTTACATATACCCTTTACAATAGCTGTTAAACTATCCTTTTGAGTTTACTATCCTAATAGTTAAATTTGGGAGTTTCCATCAATATTTCTTGCACTATAAGATTCCATAAGTATATTAATAGGTGTATTCAAAAGTGTATTTGAGGGCTGGGGATGGAGCTCAGTGGTTGAATACTTGTCTAGCATGCATGAAGCCCTTGCATCCCCAGAAAAGCGGTGTGTGTGTGTGTGCATTTTTAATGTATTAATGAAAGTCTAAACAAAATCCAAAGATTGAGACTATAAAAAAAATCTCTCTTCCTGATGTTCTTAGTCCCAAATGTGTTTTTGATTAATCTAGAAACTATTCAGTTTCATTAGAGA